AACCGAGGCAAAATTTTGCGGCCGGAGCTGGTCGTAACCCGAAAAGTTCGTTAACAGAAGCATTCATAACCCAAGGTTCCACTATATATATAAAGTTAAACCTTGATTGCCATAGTTCTGATTTATAACTTGGCTAAATAATCTGTCCCTTCTATTTTTTATTTTTTGGGAAGATGTGGCTAAAAAGCTTACATTTGATTTGAGCAAACTTTTGGAAACCTTATTATAGGAGCATACTTCTTTTATATGTCTGTAATACGTAGGTTATTACTGGTCATTGCTTTAACAGGAAGGTCATCAGGTGAAACTAGCAGTTGTCCAGAACACAGTGCAGCTTGCCTGCTGAAGGATGGCCATGCCTTCGATCTGGGCCATACTAAAGAATTACTGAAACAGCTTGATAAAGACAGGTAGGGCTGAAGTCTTTGTGTGATCCTTGGAAGTCACCAGCATGTCAGTGCTGTTCATGGTGAATAAGGTTGAAAGAATGTAACTATAAAGTACAAATGTAAAGTTTAGTCCTTAAATGTTTCTGCTGCTATTAGGAATTTTGTACTTGAGGGTTGAATTACATGTCCTTTGTTTAATTTACAGTGGTTTTAAAATTAGTCTATTTTTGTATGTTTGTGGAGCACAATAAAAATAACTTATTACAGAATGGCCTATAATGCCAAATATGCTTATTTTCTAGCTGAGAACTGCTAACATTGCTTTAATAAGTATTCTTAATTTTGTTCCTAGTTCTGTATTATATTTTATATTATTCTGTTGGAATTCACTGAATTTATAGCTGTTCTCCCCACCCCCACCCCTTTATTATAAACTTGTGCTTATGCAACAAATTTAACTAAGTCTTTCTCTGTATGCCCTCCAAATCTTTTCTGAAGTGCCCATCAGCCCCCTGGAAATATTTTACATGCTGTTTTATTTTTTGTGACTATATATTGCCCTGGGATGTGCTAAACAATTATCTAGATGTTGTTTCCCAGTTGTTAGGTGAAAAATATGCATTGATAGTGATAGAATTGGTGTAATATTAATCTGGGAAAACAATATAAAATGATTTGAGTCACCTCCTAAAGTAACAACAATTTGAAATTATTATAACACCATTGTTTTAGATTCTACATGTGCAATCATTCCCTCCCCCAGTTTGGTATCTTACAGATTAGTTTGGATTCCAGTTCCTTAGAATTCCTACCCTCTTGTTCCAAATACACATTGGGAACGTTGCACTGTGTGAGCCTCCTAATTGCTACTTTTTCATGCTTGTGTTGCTTTATGTTTTCAGGTTTCAACTAAGATATGAAAAACAAAATAGCGATGAAAAAGAGAGACCAGACTTTTGTGGTAACCATGATCCAGCAGTTACAATTACTTTTGTGTGTCCAGAAGGAAGGCGAAGAGAGGTAATCATAGTTTCCTATGGTGGATGTTGAGTCCTGTTACTTTAGTGGGAAAACCTGTGGATCATAGCATTAACTCTAAATAGATATACCAGTGGATTTCAATTTTACTGGGCCAAGTCAACACTTCCTATTGCCTGATAAGTAAATATCATGGTCATCCTTTCTCATACCACTTCCTCATTGCCCAGTCAGGGTTCATAATATCAAGGCTGCTGAAGTAATTTTTGAGGCAGACTATCCCATAAAAGTGTCTTTCCCCTTCCTGACCAAAAAAAAAACCCAACAACCCATAATAATGAATTAAATTACTACAATTTCTAGACATCCAAAATCAGTGTTGACCCTTTCATTGAAGCATTCAGGTTACCTTGTCATAGTTCATATTATCTAAACTGCAGGTGAACAACTTTTGGCAACCAGCTCTATAATTTTCCTTTTGGTATTTTCTCAATGGCTGAGGATTGCATTGGACAGGGATAGAATTTATAGGTTTGGGGGGTGCAGGGAGGGAGTTGAGTGTTTTATGGAATTCTTTAGAGTTGATAATTAATCATTTGTACTGTTAAAAATCAGGAATAAAAATTACTTCCCTATTCTGAAATTTGAGTGACAGCAGTAAAGGGATTTCAGGCTATATGCAAGTCTCAAATCTTTCCATTCCAGATCTAAATCATGTTTATAGTGTAAAGATATGAACTTGGTGAACAGAAGCTGTAGCTTGTTTCAGGTCAAGTTAGATGAAACGCCAAATTATGGCTTGGTCCTCTATTTGAGAAGATAAGAACAAACCACAGGTCTTCAGCTTTGCCATCTATTGTAGCAAAAAGCATCTGAAGCATTTTCTGTCCTTCTTTCTCGTGTGTGTGTGTGTGTGTGTGTGTGTGTGTGTATGTGGAGCATCAGCAGCCTTGCTGTGGTGGAGTGATAAATTAATTTTCAGTTATCCTTTAAATCCAGAAAGGCAGCTCTTTTTGACCAGGAGGTGTGCTTTGTTTTTGTTTTAATTTATGTTCAGCTTCTAAAGGCTGCTAGGGGTATGGCTGGGAAGTCACAGAAGTGGGTAGGCTAAAAATGTTTGGCCGGTATTCCTATTTTGAGTGGATGGATGTTTTCGTTAAAAACATAAAATAAGTACATCAGGTCTCCCAAAGCTTTAATCATCTCTTTTAGGGTGTTATTTGAAGGATGGGAAAAATACTGTTACTGCTGAAAATTGCTTTTTTTGCTGCTAGATTTTGGTAGTAGAGTCCTAGGGCTGTTGGGGACAGCAAAAATGGTTTGTAGGGGGGCTTATGCACAATATGAGCCAGTTTGTCCTCTTCCATCCCTGCCCCCCAGTTTAGGCTGTTGAAAATCCAAAATCTGATAGCTAGAAATACAAAGCAGTATATGGCAAGCAAGCAGTCATTTGAAACTAAACTATTCTGTAATAAATAGTTCATATATGCTATGCCTCATATATGTCTTAGGACTACATAAATCAAGGTTCTCTGATCTGACTGGTTACTTTTTTAATATAGGATACAAATCCTACACTCACTGCTCAAAGCAATTGCCGCTATGAAATTGAATGGGTTACTGAGTCTGCTTGCCCCAGGGACTACCTGGAGAGTCATAATTGTACTCTGAGCAGTGAACAACATGGCATTTATGTGGATCTGACACCACTTACGCAATCCCCAGGTAAATATCCTCTTTCTCTTGGAGTGTGTACAACAAGGTATTTTATACAAGTAAAACCAGCAGTTATAGCAGAGAAAGACAAATTTCAAACTCTGGTGTAAATGTGTGATAAAGATTGGTGTTGTAAATGCATATCTCCATTGGTATGATTACCTGAATATTTATTTCAGACATCAATTTCAATCACATTATTTTCTTTAGGTGACGTGTCACCATATCTTGCAAAAGATAAAGAATATGACTATTATCTGAATGTATGTGGGAAGGTAACTGGCAGTGCTTGTACGGATAAGGATGTGTCTTCATGCCAGGTCAAATCTCAAAAAAGTCAGCAGAAAGTGGCAGGAAGGTTTACCAATCAAACTCTCAGGTTAGTACTCAGTCCATAAATGCTAATATGTTTCTTTTGGAAACAAAATCTGTGATCTTTGCCCAAAAGTATTTGATTCGATATCAGAGGAAAATAGTCCTTATTTTTGAAAGAAGGTATTTTTTCACAACATAAACAGCTGTACAGATAGTCCTCGGGTTATGACTAATTCAGTGACCATTCAAAGTTATGATGGTGCTGAATGAGTGGTACTTACAGTTGGTCCTCGAAGTTCTGGCCATCGCAGCACTCCTACGGTCATGTGATCGTGGTTGGGCACTTGGCAACTTGCTTGCACTTATGACAGTTGCAATATCCCACAGTCATGTGACCTTCCCTGCTGGCTTCCCACAAGCAAAGTCAGTGGGGAAGCTGTCAGTGAAGGTCATAAGTTGCTCCCATGGCTTTTTCTCCCAAGGTCATAAGTCACTCCCGCAGCTTTTTCTCCCAAGGAGCCATGCTACAGAGTATGAGATCCCAGGGATCTCATACTCCGTAGCATCCCCCATCTGCCCGCTCTCCATAGCGCATGCCCACAGCATCACCTATCTATCTATCTGTGCTGTGTAGTGTGTGCCCACCTGCGACCCCTGCCCACCTGCCGGCGCTCCATAGTGCCCACAAGCAGCCCCCTCTGGCTCTTCATAGCACCTGCCCATGGCACCCTCCCATGGCACCCTCTGCGCTCCTTGCTGGGACTCCTACCTCTTCCCGCTTAATGACCTGCGTAGTTCTGGGGTTGCCATTGCTAAGCAATGCGATTACGTGACATTGTGCTTTACAACTGCATCGCTTGGTGGTGGAAATTCCAGTCCCAATTGCCGTCATAACCTCAGGACCACGTGGGTCGTTAAGCAGGTCTACCTGTAGCAAGCAAGAAGACTCCATTTGCTTGATTGAAAACATTCATATATTATCTTCACTGGTGCTGAAATTAGCCTGAATATGACAATTTCATAAAGCAAAAACAGCCTAGCTTTTAGCATGTGACAACTAGTGAAAATACATGCAAAATATTTAGTGACATTCTTAAAATTTGAGTTAAAATGGATTGTTAATATTTAGCTTCCATTGAGTACAGCCCACTGAAAATCTTTGCATTACATCTGGTAAAAATAATTAAGTAGAACCTTACCATTGTTTTTTGAAATCAGATATGCTGATGGAGACCTTATTCTGATGTACCCAGGAGGAGATGTTTGTAGCTCGGGTTTCCAGAGAATGACAGTCATCAACTTTGAATGCAATCAAACTGCAGGTAATGTACCAATCTGGTTGTCAGTGGATTAATTTGAGCAATATGTTTTTGTTGGAAAACCTGCTCCTCCTTTTTTTTTTTTTTTAAAGTTTAAGGTCAGGTTGTTACGTAGAAAATTAGATATTGCTTTCATTTTATGGGCAGCTTTTTCCTACAAGCTCCACTAGAAAAGATTGAAGCATTATTTAGTATAGCATGTAACAGTGCCAATAATGCATATAATGGAATTATTGAAGGTCATAAAACTGAATGTAGGCTATAGGCATGCATTAGAACTGGTGTTTAGGGACTGAATACCACTGAGTTCAGATACTGGGGTTAAACAAGAATTGCCCTTGTCTTTGTAACATTTTTAGAGCCCTCAGTTTGATCTTTAATGGCAATTACCAAAAGTAAAACAGTTTCAGAATTTAAATTGCTCAAGAGTAGAGTGACATGCTATACATGGTTTTTGGCTTGGTACTATAAAGGCATTCTTAACAGAAAAATAATATTTTTCAGGCTGTTGGTTATGAAATATTATTTATGCTTAGGTAAACTTGTGAATCAGTGGTTAAGTTAGCATGTTGCAGTAAGCCATAATATAATGTATTTGCTTTTAGATTGCCAGTTATTCAGTAAACAAATGCACTAAACACATTAGAGATAAGTGCAGTGTCTGAACTTAAATATTAATTGCAATATTAAAGCCTTTTTACTCCAACATCTGATGATATGGATTGGCTTGTGGCAGTTCTGCCATGGAAGTGGGTGCCTAGTTAAATTATATTTGTCTTTAGATTTTTAATTGTTAATTTTTTAAAAGTTCCTTTTGAATTGTTTATGGTGGTTGAACTCTGTTATTCTTGTGTCTGATCATGTGTCATAAGCCTCATTGTGAATATTTTAATGGACAATATCAGTACTCTAATCTGGTATTTTTATGTTTCCTATTATATCTTACTCTTTTTAATCTGTACTTTTCCTGTATTTTTGTGAATTTATTAAAGATAATAATGGCAAAGGACATCCAGAATTTAATGGTGAGACAGACTGTTCATATTTCTTCACCTGGCAAACAAAATATGCTTGTGTTGGAGAAGAAGAAGGTTTGCCTTGCATGGTTGCAGATAAGAAGAAAAAGTATGACTTGACACGACTGATTCGTCATTCTGGTATGAATGTTAAAAATCTATTACCTGTTTAATTGTTTTAAAAGCTCTTGTTGATATTTAACTGGTTGTCTGAAATGCTGTCCTAAACATAATATACTGCTGCCAAATATACTGGGTGAATAGTAAAATATTGATGATTTTCCAAGACAAAAGGATTTATGGTTGGAGGCATCCGTAGAAAAGCTCTTTGTTTTAGCCTTTTGAACATAAGGCACGTTGTTCAATGCATTCAGTGAGTTTTTATGGTTGCGGAGGTGCAGTGCAGAAGGTGATACTCCAATAAATGTATGTCATAGTGGTATAGTCTATGGCGGTAGTATAATGTTTTAAGATGTTAATCTAGAACTCTGTGTCAGATGTTGGCCAACCAGATCCATTGGACATGAGGCAGTTGCCCTCTTCCATTGTTCCAATGCACATTGCCTTGGAATTTTACTGTAATCCTGCAGGTCATAACAAGTACTTGGTCTGATTTTGAGAAAGGAGAAAGTGTTAGGCCTAGCTGGCTCCTAATTTGACTTTCTGGAGGAAGCCCTTCATCTCCTTTATCATAGATTGTATGGTTTTCATTAAAGTGTTTTATGTTGCCAAGTGACACTTTTGTGATGGCTTTGTAGTAGCCCTAGACAGTAGTGCTAATTAGCTATAGGCTCTGATTCATCATTAGCATTTTGACTTGACCATATTTACACGCCAGTCATTCTCTCTCTCTTTGCATTCTTTTTTGAGCCTTGTTCTTGAGTTTTAAAAAAATCTTGCCACAGCTGAGCTTAATTGTGGTTATTTTGGGTATGGAATTATGTGTGGAATTTTAGATAATGTGGCACTAGAAAGCAAGCGAGTGGTATATAGATATGGTGGAAACTAGGACAGAAAAGTATGGAGAGGTATTATGAATTGCATTGTTGTAAACTAGATGTACTATATTTTCTTATCTCTTGCCTTTATTTTCTTGGTTTTTTACTATTATTTACACTCCTTTTGCAATTTTCATAACTCTGCTTACCCCAAGAGAATAGCATGATGAATATATATGGCATCTAAATATTTTTTTAATCTAAAATCTGTCCTCTTAATTCTAGAATCAGAGGAGAATTGGGAAGCTGTAGATATCAACCCCGTAGAAGCAAAAAAGAAACGATTCTTTATAAATGTCTGTCACAAGGTACTTCAGAAAGGAGAAGCGACATTTTGTGCAAAAGATGCGTCAGTTTGCTCTGTTGGTGAGTAGGTGTCTGAACCCAGCCTCTCAATATAAGCTAAGTTGCTTCTCTTTTCATAGAACAACAATAATCATTTATTTTAAGTCTGCAAGGCAAAGTGTCTGCTCTAGAATTTGCGCTCCCTAACTCCTATGTTTTGTATTCTTTTTTCAATTCTCATGTCTACAATTCTGAGGTAGAATTAGTATCTGCATAAAAATTACAAAATTCCTTGCACCTAGGAAACTCTTGCTTAACATTCTAAAAGGTTTGATAAATCCTTAATTTCAAAGACTGATTATAAAAATGGTAGCTATTCATGTCCTAACAGTAGACAAAGTAAGGAGAAAAAATTTAAAAGTATAGGTCTGCGGAAGTGAACTGTAAGACATCTTTCTGTTCCTGCTACATTTTGTAGATAAAGTTCCCTGAAGAGCATCTGTTTGGTTATACCATGAATCTTCATCATCATCATCTTCCTCCTTTGTTGTTGTTTTGGAGCACTTGCATTTTTACTTATTATACTTAGTTTACATTATTTCTATGCTGCCCCAATCACATAGCTCTGGGAAGCATACAATTACATAAGTAAAACCATCAAATACATAACTGCAATAGAAGAATAAATCAAATAAACCCAGTAAGAGCAGCTCCTAATAGGTTAACATCCAAACGCCAGGTAGAAGAGAATAGTTTTATTTCCTTTCTAAATGTCAATAGAGAGGGGTAATCCACAGAGGACAGATATTCCCTAGGATTGGGGCAGCAACAGAAAAGGCATATTTTCTGATTCCATTCTTGAGTTTCATGAGGGGTGGGAACATGCAGCATATTTTGCCAACTATGACACACAGAATAGGTAGACTCTACCTAGAGCAAGCGCTCTTTGGTAACTAAACCATGGAGAACTTTATAGGGATAACTAGCATTTTACAGTGACTGGAGAAATGTTGCCCTGCTGTTTTAATCACTTAGCACACAATCTGTCATCTCCTATATCATGGAAGTTGCCAGATATGGGTAGTCTTCATTTGGCAACTGCAATTGGGACCAGCAATTTGGTAGTTAAGCGGTTGCTAAGTGAAAAATCATGTGACTCTGACTGCTTACGATTTTACTTTAGCTTTCCTTTGCTTTACAGTGTCAGAAGGATATAACCCCAAACAGCCGGGTGAGCCCAAATGGTGGGGAAGGTTTCCGGAACTCAATTTACGAGGAAGCCGGGTAAAAGGGCAAATCTTATGCCCCTTTTTCCCCACTCCCCTGCTCTTTGGAATGCTCACCCAGCACTGGGATAATTAGCAAGAAGAGAATTAATGTTTGTATTTACAGTCATTGGAGAGGAAGGGATTACAAGAGAGTAAGCAGGCACACAATGGGGAATACACATTGAAAGGAATGTGCTGGCATCGGCTGTTTGCTTTGTGGGCTGGTGGCTCCAAGTCCTTGGAAGGTGTGAAGCTGATTAAAGTTATAGGCACCAGCTGCAGCCAGCTAATTAAGGTTACAAGGCTGAGCTTGTTAACTTATGGTTAGCACTTTTTAGGGACACACTGGGGAGAAAAGCAGCTCAGGAAGAGATTGCTTGTTTAGGCAACCTCCACTTTGCCAGGGGAGTGGAAAAGGAAAAAACAGATCAGGGATAGGACAACACATTCTAACTGACTATAACAATGAACATATGACAGAGAGAGAGAGACACTGCAAAAGTCGTAAATGTGAGGATTGGTCACAAAGTTACTTTTTCATCCCTGTCATAACTGCAAACAGTCACTGTCTGAGGCAGTCACTAAAGGAGGACTATCTGTAGTCTTAAAAGGCAACCCCAAGGAGAGCACATTGCAGGAGTTCAGAGGTGAGGTAAGAGAACATGATTGACTGCATTCAGTTCCAGGCATTACTGGCACTTCAACTAGTGTGCCAGATGCATCCTAAAATTCTGGTACGCTTTTACTTATGATATGGCTCTTGATTTACATAGGTATGTGCACCTTAGACTGCCTTTTGTCTTTTGGTGAATCCACAGCATAAATAGAGCAATCTTCAGTGGTTTAATATAACAGATTTTTAAAAATCATTCTTGAATCCCTTCACTTTCAGCATAAAATCATGTCTCCTACCTGACACCTGTATTGAAGATTTTATTTTGTATACAGTCCTGCAGTCAACTTGCACTAACCCTCCAGTATGAGAATTAAAGCCTTTTCTGTGAAAGCAAACATTCATAGTTTTCATATTTTACTGCTTTTTAGATAAAAACAATAGTACAAGAAATCTTGGGACTTTCATGTCTCCTCCCAAAAAGGTTGGAGAGAATATTGAGCTTCGCTATTCAGATGGAGACGAATGTGCACCCAATAAAAAAATTGAAACAAATATAATCCTTATATGTAAGCCAGGTGAGTGATGTGATCTTATTATTAAACCTCAAGTAGCTGACCTTTATAGAAAATAGTAAAATTTTGAAAGCAATGGCAGAGAGTCCATGAAATCTACCAGAATGTCTTCCTTTTCCTTCCCCTCACTTATAACATTAATAATTGAACCATTCTCAAGCCATATTTGCTGCCATAGAGTAGCTTCTTTTGTATTTGCACATGCAGGAAATTGGATATTGTTGCCTCAAATGGAAGTTCCTAGTGGGGTTGAGGACTTCAAAACTTGAACTGATCTATTGGAAACCTTTAGCGTTGCTTCATAGAATTACTAATATGTTGCATTTCAGCTGCTAAGCCAATTCACAGCAATAAAATAAAAGACAACCAGCAAATTTAACTTATATTCAAAACCTAGTAAATGTTAGGTAGAAGGGAAAATTGTTGACTGTCCAATTAAAAATAGAAGGCTCATGTAAACCTGTCTTGAATGTGATTTTCACAGCTGGATGTTCCGAAAAAGAAATAGTATATCATCATCATCATCGTCATCTCAATTTTCCTTGGTAATAACATAAAACAGGACTTCTGCCCAAATAGGTTGCTTTGTGGGGAGATTGTCCTGCAGATAACTTGGTCCTAACCCGTTGAGTTAAGATTTCATAGGCAATTACCAATGCCTTGAGAATCAAATCCAGTAATGAATTGAAAACTAGCATTGATTGCTTGATTTATTATATCCCAACACAATCAGTTTAACTCTTGATTGATGCAGCAGATTTGATATAAAATTATGCAAAAAGCAATCCTTGGAATCATCCTGGTTGTATTTTCTATCAAAATACACTGTAGTAATTGTACACTTCTTTACTGGCTTTGACTTTTGGGTCTTTAATGTGCCTCTACAAAGTGAAGTATATATTTTCATGACTTTTGTCTACAGAATAGTGAGGATTCATTATTACAGCATTCAACTCTTCATCTACAGAGCTTGGGCACAGCATATACAGTGGTGCTTAAAAGTTTGTGAATCCTTTTGAATGTTCAATATTTCTGCATAAATATGACCTGAAATGTGATCTATTCTCCACACAAGCCCTAAAGCTAGATAAAGAGAACCCAATTAAACAAATGAGTCAAAAACATTATACTTGTTCATTTATGTATTGAGAAAAATGATCCAAAGCTACATATGTGGAAAAGAGGTCAAAAGTAGGTTTGTGCAAAATGTTTTGATTTGAACCATTTTAAGCTAAAACCACCCTGGTTTGAGTGTGAAACAGCTGCTTTGATAATGGATGCACCCAAAATGCTTGAAATAGCCAATTTTGTGTTTGAGAATGGTTTGAATTAAAAATTTTGCACACCCCTAGTCCATAAATCAGAACTTTCCAGCTTAAAATCAAATAGGAAATAATGTGGCATTTGTCACTATTTATATTTTATTGGTGGGGGGAAATACTCTCAGATTGAAGAAAATGGAAACTCTTTAAATAACTGATCCACATACTTTATCAGATAATCTGAGATGTTCTGTTACCAGATTCTTCAAGATGAGTGACTGTTCAGTTCAATATTTTTCTGTTTTGTTGATAGGTGATCTGGAAAGTGCTCCTGTTCTGATTAACTATGGATACGATGGGTGCTTGTTTGAATTTGAATGGCATACTGCTGCTGCCTGTGTCCTGTCTAGAACAAAAGGAGACCACTGCAAAGTTTCAGATCCTCAAGCTGGTATGTAGCTAAACAGAACCTGTGATAGGGAACTGAGATTTCCTGTCTGCATTTAACATTTTGTGTCAGCTAGTAGCACTGTTTTTGTCTTCTTTCCAACACAGAAGTGTAGGACATATGCATATTGGAATACTTTGAAATGGTTATTACATATGATGCATCTTTCCTCTTGTGAAAACTGTCTCAAGCTCATTCACAACTTTTATTAAATAAGTTTTTTTTATTTCTACTTAGGAGTTTCCTTCGACTTATCACCACTAATGAATGAGTCTTTCTCAATAACCACTAGTGATTATACCTTCTACATTAGTATTTGTGGCTCTTTGTCAAATAAGTATTGTAGATCAGAGTCTGCAGCCTGTCAAGTAAAGAAAAAGTAAGTGTTGTGCTTATGCCTTATTCCTGTAGCAGGGCAATCTGAAATGGATATCTTCCTTCTATTTAATCCAGAGGCAGGGGTATAAAGGATTTGGACATTGGTTCCTATGGGAAAAGAGCTCTCTTTCTCAGTTCCACTCACACTCATGCCTGCAAGTTCTGCCTGCCATCCTTTTTTTCAGGACCACTTCAATCAGAGATCTTTGCTTACTTTTACTTTTTATTTTCTATGCTTCTTCTTTTCTTTTCCTCTCTTTCGTTTTTCTTTTTCGAAAACTTCAGCTAAGCAGTGGCCAACAGTGATCAAGTGAGGGGTTTAGGCTCTAGCCATGCAGCAGTAAGGCACCCATGGCTCCCTGCTCACATCCCCCTGGGTATGAACAATGGTGCAGCTTCTGAATTTATGGCTATCAGTCACACACCTCTCATAGTCACTGGAGGAGCCATTGCCTCCTCTCCTTGGGGAGTCAGAGACCTGGGGATGGAGGTCAGTGGCATTGGGAACCTGATCCCCCTATCAGGTACCCAGGAACATCAAGTTACTAATGTTGCTCTGCCAGGTATCATCTGGTCCTGAAGGTCCACTGAGTTTTGGTTTTCTGAAGAAGACCATGGAGCATTTACTTGGGTTGTGACTTCACAAGACAGTCTGCACCTATAACCAAAACACCTTGGGAGGATAAAAAAAGGGTGGGAAATCCAAACTTTGGGGGGGGGGCAGCCTGGAGCAAGCCATGGTGGGGGAAACAGGGAAAGGGGGTAGTGGTTAACCCTAATCACAGAGGGTAAGGATCAGCTTACCTTTAAAGGTAGAAGTAAGTCACCAGGTGAGGGAAAGACAACCAGTCCCTCCTTCATGTCATCAAAGTCATCTGGCTTGGATGTCTCCCTTCAAACCTAAGTGGAAAGAGAGGATGCTATCCCTGAATGAGGAAGAGGATGAATAACCAGTCCATGAGTCCATAGACTATTCCAAAAAAGCAGATTTTCCACAAACTACACAAGAAAGTAGGGAAAAAAACCTAGAGCCATCTATGTCGGTCTTGCTGAACCTGCTAATAGGTCTGCTCTGGGACTGTATTCACACTCATGTTTCCCTTCCCCCAAGCATTCAACGAAGTTCTTGAGACAGTGTAAATGACCCTGGAGGTGACAAGAGGTGGCTCCTTCCTGGCAACCAAACTCTATAGCTTTTTTCAGGCACCCCTTTTTCCCTCCCCCCTCCCCTTCCTTGGTAGTTGCCTCCATGGGACCAGCAGTTTTAGGGGGCACAGTAGACGCAGAGCACGTGAGGCAACAGCCCTAACCACAAGGACCTCCTTGGCTACTACATTCTTTGAGCCGTGCCCTAGATAATTTCCTAATTGACAAACCTATGAAGTGCACCCCATACATATGAACGTCTTAAAGTGCCCTTGTAACAAAAGATTCACAGCAAGCTGAATTGACCCTGAGTGGTGACAGGGAGAAGACTCAGTCAGGAACCTGTGGTCCAGTAAACCAAATTGCTTCTATTAACTGACTATAACTCAGTAGGAAGGGATAAATAATAATAAGGTCACACGGATGGGTTTATCTAAAATATTCCAATGTCATGCTGTAATTTCTACTGTGTCTACCTTTCTTTGTCTTGCCTTTGCAATGTAGTGGGCCAAAGGTATATAAACTCTGGTTCTGCTTTTGCTCATGGCTGTTCAGCAAAGTGCAGAGCTTTGCTGGGAGCTCAGCATACTGTATTATTGATTACATACAAATAAAAGTATGTTGTATTTTCAAAGTGATTTGGTTGCTTTAGATAAGTCAGGTTTGGCCACAACATCCTAATGGATTTTGTTGTCAGATGCACAAAATTTGGTCATAAATGCACACATTGGTCAGAAAATGTTTTTTTAAAATTACCGTTGTATTTGTAAATGGTTGCTAAACAAGGTAGCCACAAAACGAGGAGTGGCTGTAATAAAAATCTCATGTAATGGTATCTAGAAAAAAAAGTTGTTGATTGTGAGCTGAAAACATGGTGGAAACAGTCATGGGTATATCTGGGTTTAGTAAAGTGGCAGTTGGATTAACTGCGCTAGAGAAAGTTGATCCATAAGATTGAATTTATCAGTCAAGAAACATATACTTGACAGTTACATGTGCTATTGTAATGCACCCTAATTTTTGTGAATATGACATTATTCTGGGACATTTAAAGCAAACTTACATGAAATTGCATTAATGTGTAATTCTAGTGGCCAAGATTTTTGGAATCTTGGGATGCCCAGCTCTCAGCTCTCCTATTACAATGGAATTATCCAGCTAAACTATCAGAATGGCACACCCTACAACAATGCACAGCAAACAAAACGGTCTACCCATATAACGTTCCTGTGTGATCGTGATGCAGACAAAAGTGTACTTGAATATCAGGTAGGAACTGAGTAAGAGCAATTTCCTTTCATTCTGTTCTTTGCACTACATCCTTAGCTCAGCTCTTGAACGGTTAACATAATGGTCAATTAACTCATCAAACCTATTTTTGGAGTAGTGCAGAAGGGGAATGGTAATTCCATCAGCCTCATATGCTTTGCAGATCTATTTTTATAGGTTGCCTAGAAGGCGTCAAGAGATTGGCTCTGATATTAAGTAATTTTTGGATATTTTCATATAATTCTTACCCTTTGGGATGCATTACACATACATTACTGCTTTAAAGCATTACTGCTCAGGGGTCCCCTTGCCAACCCATTCATAAAATTGGCATATGGAACATTTCCAGTTACACATCGCCAATTTACCAGAATGCTATCTGCCAACCCCTGTAACCACTCCTGATGCAGGATGTTTCTTCCTATCCTGACTTACTTTTGTTATTTTTCTGAACAGGTGATTATATTTCTGAGCAAAGTACTGTCTTGCCTTTTTTATTTTCCAAAGGAGCCTATATGGCTTATTTGGGCTCTGAGAAACTTTTGGAAGTGGAGATAATGCTGGAATCTGGCACTTTACTGTATAGCATGAAAGCTGTCTTTTCTTTTTCTAACGTCACAGTTATAAAACTTTAAAAAGTTAAAGTTAAAAAAAATCTGTTAAACTTTAATAGTTACATTTGGGTGAGAGGAGGAACTTAGTGGCCATTAAAAGAAGATGTATTCATAGTTGTCCTGGGCAGTGTGTTGGGGAATCTGTAGTTAAGCACGTACACATTGAAAGTTCTTGTTTAGGGACTACTGCTTATAATTGCAAGTATCTGTATAGATTCTACTGAACATTCTGATGGAAAAGCCTGAATCTATAAAAGCAAAATCAGTATCTGTAAGCTAAAATTTCTCTTCTCATTTTGAACTGTCATAATATTATGGTCTTTCTTTGCAATCTTGATTTTTTGCTTTCTGTATTTTTGATCATGATAACTTAGGAGGAAGACAAGTTCACATACAACTTCAAGTTGTATACTCAGTATGCTTGTCCAGAAATACCCACAGAATGTGTTGTGATAGATCCTCAAACCATGGAGCAATACGATTTGTCAAGGTAAACAAGAAAATAGAATGTAAATTCTAAATATGTGGAAGAATGCTCAGCTAGCAATTTTTCCAAGCCAAAAACAATCTTGTATTTCATTCTTAATGCTACCTTGCATAGATCAGTAGTGCTGTCATTATGCTTAACAATCTAAAATCAGTGTGTTATTGTGGAAAAGTAGCTTATTACCCTACAACTCCTAAAGACTGTCAGCTTATAGTTTTAATTGTTCAGCTATCAGTATTGGTATTGTTTCTGGTGTGGATAAGTTGTATTAAACTTTATTTTCTCAATAGTGTGATTTAAATTAACACCATATAATTTTAGTGTATTTTAATGCTTAACTCAGTAGGGAAATGTATGAATACAATTACTCCTGCCTCATTTCTGAATATGTTATTGCTAACTATAACTTTTGTTGTTTTTAAAAAATTGACATATATTTAGAGGCTTAATAATTTTTGGTCCATTTTTAGTTTATCACTATTTGGTAATGTAAAAGAAAATTGGTTTGCAATGGACAACTCTGGAGAGAACATTCACAAAAAATACTACATAAATATCTGCCGACCTTTGAACCCCATCCCAGGATGTGACAGGAAAGCATCCATCTGTGAAATGACATTCAAGAGGGGCGAGAGTGTGAGTATATCCATGCTGTAGAGAGACAAAAATCAAAACTAATGTACCCCCTGTTTTTTGTCCTCGTGGGTATTTATATAATCTGTGGACAAGACCTGGACTGTTTTTATAATCTTCACAGAAAGAATGTGTGCATTTCTTATTGTATTGTTTTAAAATATTTTTTCTTATTATAAATGCCTTTGCTTTAGAATGATTTCATTTCTCTCATTTCAGGCTGGCTCTTCTAACATTTCCAATAGTAACCTTGGGATTGCCCGGCGAAGTCCCATTTTTGAAGGACATGGTAGAATCCTTCTAAATTATACTGGTGGGTCTCTGTGCAGAAGGGCTGATGATGACAAGTTGGAGCCTTTCTCAAGCCTCATCCATCTTATTTGTACCAAGGGCCTTCTTGTAAGTTTCTGATAGGCATCATCATTCTTGCACTATAGCTTCATAGTGGTATGGGATTTGACCGCCACTATTTAAGAGTAGGAAACATCTTACAGATTAATAACTGGATGAATTATTTGATTCCTCTTGTCATATGAAATGTAAATGGATCTTATACCTATTCAACTGGAGTAACATGTATAATCTGTTTCTCATAATTGTCCAAGTATGCTTTGAAAATTGTGTGGCTCATTTCATCTTAATCTAGCTGAAGTATCATTCAAGAGTGGAAATAAAGCAAGGCCCTAGAATTTACAGAAATACAGAAAACTGGAAATTTTCAAAGCAGCTTAACATGGACCAAATATACTTAGTTAATTCAGAATGCTAAATGACAATAATGTTGGGAAATCAGAACGGAAGGGAATAGCTTGATCACAACTGCAAGATTGCTACATGCACAAAGATGGAAAGATCCACAAATACCTATAGTGGAAGAATGGATTATTAAATTAATGGACTTGGCTCAAATGGTGAAGTTAACAGCTTTATTAAGAGATAATACTGTTTCTAAATTTGTCTCCTTGTGGCAACCTTTTTTAGACTATGTGCTCGTGCAGGAAAAAAATGAGGCTTTGATTGTGGGTTTTAAAGATTAGATGGTTTGTGTTGATAGAAATAATGTGAACTTGGATTAATTAGTGGCAAGAAATTATTCCTTTTT